CCAAATGAAATTTAGGGGCAAGACTGTGGATTCATGATCTACTTGTCAAATAGAATTAAACTGCATCAAAACATCGCTGTTACAAATTTTGCTCAATTTTCCTACCAAATTTATCTTATTTTACTGGGCTAATTATTGGCGAGCATGATACAAAAATAGAAGATAGTTTCATTTATTGACATTCGTTGTTGTTGCCGACCACTTGACTTTTAACAAGTTTATGACATATGACTAAAATCATGCTACCAGATTCACTAGCAGCAACATTTTTGTTTCTTGAAAAAGTAAAAAAAAAATTAGAAGTTAGTGAAGTTGGATAAAAATATTAAAAGAAAAGTCTTGCGCGTTTCCAAACTGCTAGAATTCAGTACACCTGTGCAAAAGGTCAAAAATAAAGTTTTGTGCTTTTCCCAGGATAGAGTACGTAATATGATCTAATGCAGTTTGAAGACAAACTGCCGACGCCAAATATTTTTAAACCTCTAAACCATAGATGGGCACACCAATACAGTCTCATTTTGTCATGGTATTCGTGAATCGCGCTTAGTAACAGTTGCCACTTTTCTATATTGTACAAAAGTGCGTCTTTTTTTGCGCGTGTTAGAAAACGCTCTTACAAATTTATATTTAATTTGTCTTATGAACATGAAACGAAAATAATAAAATATAATAAAAAAATAATGAATAAATAATTTCAAATAATGAATTATGAAATAAATTTTTATAAGTACATATGTACGTGCATGAAAAGTTTTTTAATTTAATTTCATTAAACTAATGTTTTAAAAAATCATAGTTTATTCAACAACAAAATTCACAAAGTTGCTCGCGGTCATCACCTTCATATTTTTCATATTCCGGATGGAATGAAAAATAATGTCGCCTTATATTAAAAGTACGATTCCAAGTAGTCGTATTACCACATAACAAGCATTGGGCATTATTAGCTTTTTTTAAAACCAAAAACTGTAATTGGCACTCATACTCAGACATTTTGGGCATTGTTACATATATAGGTGGCAACCACGCGGTAAAATTACGAATAAAAATATTCAACGTCGAAGCATAGCGTCACTCTCATGAAATCTGAAAGCAGACTGAATTGAGATTCGCTGCGTCGTTTCTGTATACGTATAAAAGCTCAGTTAGTCTAGACTTAACTTAATTTAACTTACCGTAAGAAATCATCAATGATTACTCAACACGTCAACTTAAGCCAAGAGCGGAAATATTTTGTTTTTGTATTTTCTTTTTCAGCTGTTTAACAGTTCGCCGCCTGCCGCCTTAAATGCCACATCAAAAAAATTCATGCAAACAACAATGTTTGCTTTCATTTATTTTTAAGAAATACAAAAACGAGAGTCTGGCAAGCCTGATTCTCTCACCGCTCTCAATTTCCGTAAGACCGTAACTTAAGAACCTAAAATCTACAGGTTCTTAAGTTTCTTACGCTAAGTTAAGTTTTAACTAACCGCCAACACAGTTTCTCATATAACAGGTTGGCCGAAATATTTAGTTAAGTTACGTTACGGAAATTAAGTCTAGACTAACTGAGCTTTGAGCGCTGCGACGCAGACGCTACTCGCGAGTAGCGTTTTGCCCATCATTGCTCTAAACGATGTACCGTTATCCGTGGAAGAGAGAGGAGGTCGAGTTAAAATGATGCCCTGCAACTTGTAACAGTAGCAATTTTTGGATTATCGGAATTTGTTGATAAAGATATGACGCTGCTAAGAAATATATATACATAAATATAAGCACAAAACTGTGTATTTGTGACAAGAATTATCCACATAAGATGAAAATGTCTGCAGTAGCGTTTTATAAAATTTTTGTCTATAGAAAAATACATAAGTAAGGCAGTTCGGGCATGGTTATTTGTACAATGATTTGGGTTATCGTGTCCAAACGCGTTACCCGAATAAAATAATTTTTACATTTGCGTCTAGTCAAAGGATTAAGCTTTAATTTAAAACAAAAAATTCGGTTCAAAATATATATATATTTTTTTTTGTAAATTTGGAGGTGGATTTTGCGCAAAAATACTGTGTATGGCATAACCGGAGTTGGACTAATGGGGTTATTTTTATGCAGCGCGCCGGAAGGCCACCAACGCGGAAAGGAGTTTTGCGCAAAGATACTGCTGTCGACTTAACACGTGTTTAATTTTTCGATTTTCTAATTTTACACCATTTTGAAATGTGCTCCGAGTGCCTGTAGAAGGGGCAGGGAGGCGATGGGACTTTACTTAAAGTTTATGCTGTGTTCTCTCTAATGAGTTTTAGGTGACACACCCCTTCCACCTCTGCTCCACACCAAAAAATCATTGTACAAATTGCTTCATTGCTATCAATGTGGCAAGGACCTAATAATTTTTTAAAATTTATGCAACATCAAAAACTTATTTTTTGTAAAAAATTTTGAAATGAAACTACCTTCTTTTTGTATCATGACTGGCGAACATTTTTTTCAGTTTTGAATTGAATAATGGCACGCCGAAAAGCCCTTTGCAAAGAAATTCGTGAATTGGTTATTGGTAAATACAAATTTAAGAAAAGTTATCGCGAAATTGCAAGAGAAGTTAATGTTCCAACTCCTACGGTGGAAAGTATAATTAGAAACTATAATAAAACTGGACAGATTTCGCCAAACGAGCACGTGGGAGGTCGAAAATCAATGATTTCCGACCGCGATATTCCGCAATCAAGCGACATTATTAACCAAAATAGGCGGAACTCTGTACGAAACTTGGCTGCTACATGGTCACAGAAGATTGGTAAACTTGTAGGTCGTGAGTTGACCCGGTTGCAGCTGCATAAGTTGAAATATAGTTTTTAACCGACTTTTAAAAAAGGAGGATGTTATCAGTTTGTCAGAATACTTTTTTTTTTTTTTAATGTATGTTACCGCATAACTTTGGACCACGTCAACCGATTTCGATAATTATTTTTGCATCGAAAAGGTTGTGTCTCAGAGGTGGTCCCTACTAATCTGGTTAAGATCCGATCAGCGGATCATGACATATATATATATATATTTTCTTTTTATATGAGAGTTGAAGTCGGTTTGTTTTTGGTAAAAATTACTTGTTATAAGGTATGGTTTCAGGTGTGATGCACTGTAGAATCTAACAAAATTTATTTTGCAATTAACAGACAGAAAGGAAACCGTTACTAACAGTCCGTCAAAAGCAAAAAATAGTAGCTTGGAGTAAAGCTAGACGATTGTGGGTCCAAAGACACTGGGACTCCGTCATATTTAGCGACGAATCGAAGTTCGATGTTTGCGTAGGCGACTCAAGGACTCGTGTGATACGAAAGAGAAATTAAGCATATTATACAGAGAGAAAGTTCCCAGCGCGTGTCATGGTATGGGGTTGTACATATGTCCTTGAAAGTAGTAGGAAAGCTTCATTTTATCGATGGGACTATAAAATCCATGGATTACTTCAATATTTTGGAGACAAATTTGCTCCCAAGTATACCCAATCTGTCTACAGCGGACGAATATATTTGTCAACAAGATGGTGTAAAAATATACGTGTTTTAGACTGGCCTGCTTCCAGTCCGGACCCTAATCCTATCCAGTCTCTATGGGCGCTAATGAAGAGAAGACTTCGAAATGAGGCCCAGAGGACTTGATGGCTTAAAGGCAAAAATTAGTGAAATCTGGGATTCTATAACTCCAAAAGAATGTTTATCACTAACTAAAACCATGCTTCTTAGACTGAATGCCGCAATACAAGCAAAGGGGGACGTTACACAGTATTAAAGTTGAGTTACGTTCACTCTATGAAGTAATAGTGGTCGTTTTAATTTTCTTAATATTAACAGTTCCTTTTGAAGTAAATGAGCATTTCCTTTATGTATAAAAAAATTATTTTTCTTTTTTTAATATAAAAGTTAGTCTATTAAGCTGTTCAGTAATTGGAATTGGCTTATAAAAAAATGCACAACCTACCTGGGAAAAAACGTTTAAAATTGAAGCGCAAAAAAATGTGTAAGTGTATGAAGTAACAGTGGTTAGGGCAAGTATATCACATACAGTATATATTTTCTAAAGTGGAATTTTCTAGAGTGGAATTTTGATATTTTCGAAAGTACGTTTAACACTTGCTAAATAACATCTGATTTTTTCTACAGTACATTTGATGTTTTCAAAGGTACATTTGTTGCTTTCTGAAGTATATTTGACAAAACTAAAGAACATTTGACGCCTTCTGAAATCTAGTTATACTTTCTAAAATACACTTGATAATTCTAAAGGCTCTGGCACATACAGCTTTCGTGCTGCTTTGGCGTTGGTTTTGCTTTGACAGCTAAATAAATACATACGTTTATATGAAGCAGTTCTCATAGGCAACGCTGACGCCACAGAAACACGAACGCTGGTTAACTCTTGCCGTTTTGGGCGCGTTGACACTCCCTTAATGTAATTATTCACTTTTTACTAATAAACATACAAAATCGTGTAAAGAAAAAACGAGTAAGGACCGCGACGACTAAATGCTTCCATTTTAAAAATGTTTGAATGTTTCTCAATCGTAAAATTCAAAATCAAAAACTAAAAACATTTGCTGTAAGAGCATTCATTGTAGCAAACACTTGCGCTACTTGCGTTGCTGTCAAAATGAAACAACGCCAATGCGACGCGAAAGCTGTATGTGACAGAGCCTTAAAGCATTTATGACACCTTCTAAAAAACATTTGACTATGCTAAAGTCCATATGAAACTTTCTAAAATCGTATTGACGCTTTCTAAAACCGAATTGATGGTTTCTGAAATCAAATTGATATATTCGAAAGTACTGTTGGAAAAGGTGTCTTAATTTTTAGTACTGGAACGTATGGAAACTAAACTTTAAACCCGTTTTTCTCGAGTTTTAGATTTTTTGTATTAGGACACTCTTCCAGCAAAAGAGCGATATTTAATTACGTATACACTTAGGACTGGAAGTTAACATTTGATTCCATGCTTTTAATGTATTTTATTCGTTTCAGCTACAATGTTTCAAACATCTCCGGAACAATCATCGCAACATCTTGCCGAGATTTATAAAGAATTTCTATTGCAACGCGAAGACTGTTTACGTACTTTAAGGGTATTTTTACGAGAATTGGTTCGTGTGCTTCGTTATGATATGAACATTGTAAGATTCTGTAAAGCGTTTATGAATGAACGAATTGATTTGATAGAACAAGTTGAACGCTCCGAATTCAGAGATAGAATATTTCATTCAATGGTGGATATAATATGCCTTTGCATGCTATTATCTGTTTCACCACAGATACGTGAAGCATGCATTGTATTACGTTCCAACAAGGAAATGAAACATAATCCGCTTTTACTGAATTTTTATTCACAAATGTCTCAAATCCAATTGGAAGCCATTTCTTGGATGTATGAAACAGTTCCAAATCTTTTCAAAATTCAAACTTTGGAATATAGCCAAGCTCTACACAAAATATTACTCTTGGACAGTCCTGAGCAGTATTCAAGATGCGATCAGTGGCCTTCTGAACCAGAGCGGGCAGCGCTTTTAAGAATTGCCTCCGAAACACCAGTGCTGGAAGATACGCTTTTACGAATTATACTTATCGGTATAACTAAAGATATACCTTTAACTATTCCTGAAACGATAGATGTGATAATGATGGTTATTAAAAGAGCATCAACAATGAGAATTCCGAATTTTCCCGCAGTGCAAGCCAACAAATATGATGTTATAGACTTTTTATTCAATATGGTAGAATATCACTATCCGGAAAATATAAGTTTACCATTAGGTTATGCTCCTCCAAAGCTTGCTATCACAGTTTTATATTGGAAGGCATGGATCATAATGCTTATGATTTCCGCCCATAACCCATCGACTTTCGGAGCGTTTTGTTGGAAGCATTATCCCACGATGAAACTTTTGATTGAAATGTGTATTACTAATCAATTTGCCGAGCAGCATGCAGGAAAAGAAGAATTACAGGTACAAGATTTTAGAATATAAAACTAGATTATTTCTTTTGTGATTAAATCAGAGTCAGCCAGCATTGAGTTTGACTCTGAATTCTTCCTGTCTTTATACAAAGCTGCAGAAACAGTTTCCAATTGAATATAAAATCGCTCACTGACCTTTTTGCAAAAAGTGGATATGCATTTTTTAACTGTTTTTACATAACTTACTAGATATTTAAAGCAGGGACGTGAACCGGTTTTGAATCGAACCAGTTTTGAACCGGAAAACCGCTTTTTTCTATTAATTAACTGAACCATTAGCCGAACCGAAATTTTTGCACAAATGATTGATCCGAACCGAAAACCGAACCACTTTCTATAAAGGTTTAAAGGTTCGTTTCAATCAGTTTTCAATAGATAAATGCACCCGATTTTTTTCTTTTTGTTAAACATGGTAATACCTACCATGTTTGTTTACCATGTGACAATATCAATTGTTAAGGCAACCCATCTCATTTGACAGACCCTTAACCTTGCGCGTTGTTGCACTTGACGCTTATAAACTTGCGCGTTATTTTTTTTGTTTTTCGAACCGTTGAACCCCGGTTCAAAGACCAAATAACCGCTTTTACGAACCAATCCAAAAGTGCAAAAACGGTTCGAATCGCTGAATCGAACCGACCAAATTTTTCATCCGGTTCACGTCCCTGATTTAAAGTACATACATATTAAGGATCCCGGGATTTTTAATTTCTTACTAAGCATATACTAAAGGGCTTTGTTAACAACTAACTGCAAATTAGTTGCTGTGGTCAGCTGATTAAGTTAAGTGACAATTTGAACAGTTTTGGCTATTTTTATTTTGTTTATTCATCACATAAATCCCCATTTTAAACTTCATAAAAAATTATAAAAATTCAATGAACTATATTAAAAAAAAAGAAAACGTTTCCCAACCGACATTTAGATTTGAACTTGAGCCGGAATTCAATAAACTTAAAAATAGGTACATCCCATTTATAAACTAAGGTACTTTCTTCACTTTCACTGTAAAATTTCGTAGAAGCGCCACACAAGGCCAAGGGCCTCGCCAGTGCCATAATTGCCATGCGTGTGTGTAATCTGCGGCGATTTTCACCTCGAAAGAATACGTTAAGCCGAAAGTGGGTCCTAAGTTCGAAAAATTAAGTAAATGTGGAGGGAAGAACCGAATATGCCGAATTATAAAGGTTGCCCCGTTTTTGTCTCAAAACAAAGACAAACCAATAAAAAAAACGAGTTCCAACTGCATTACTTGAAGCCCGTGAAATAGTGAAACCAGTTCTAACGAGTAATCATCAAAATAACTTTCCGACTTATGCGGATGCTCTCAAAAACTTTTAGTCCGAGAGACAAGCGACAAGGAATTTCATGCATTTTATGAAAGCTGAATTTTCGATATTATGTCACATTTTTGGTGTAGAGAAATAGCCTGCCGTCAGTCAGTCAGTCCAATTCGTTAGCGTTGCTCGTAGGGCGGCTTTAATTTGGATATAGAAACTCTTTACTTGCAACTACTTTATAAAATATGAAAAAAATAATTGAGAGTAGTATATTAACTAAAGTAATCTGACATTAAAATCACTTAATCATTACTTAATCCTTAATCACTTAAATCCTGAGAAATATCCTGCCGTCAGTCGCAGTTAATTTTGATATAGAAACTATCTTGCAACTACTTTATAAAATCTGAAAAAATAATTGAGAGTAGTATATTGACTCAAGTAATCTGACATTAAAATCACTTAATCATCACTTAATCATTAATCACTTAAATCCTGCAACCGAGCCCGTCAGTCACGAGTTGAAGTTGTACAAAATCTCTGCAACGTGAAAGCATTTTATAAAATCTGAAATTCAGGCCACAGGTGCTGAAGTACTTACAAAAATATTAGTCAGTCAGAATTTCCCTGTAACAGATGCCGTCAGTCGCCGACAAAATGTAATGCCTTGCACTAATAAATTTAATAATATCGAATATTTTTCAGTATATAAAAATAAAACTATTCGTACAGTTCTTTCGTTTGCTTCTGTAGATGTGCATGCATATGTTTGTTTGTATGTATGTATATCACCAGTTTTTTTTACAAGTATGTACATAAGTGGAAATTTCGTCACTTTCCTCATCCCGTTCACTTGTTGTATAAGAATGTGGCAATGTGAAGCGTCCAGTCTATGAAAGATTGAGGAGAGACGCAGGTGGCCCAGATGACATCTGTTTTGTTATTAATTTAAAGTTCATAGAGTATTTTCATATTAGTCCACTGTCACTGGACGGGGCTCTCTCTCCACAAAGTAAAAATACGATTTGTACAACACCTACATCCGGTATTACTTGTGCCATAGCTCTCGGAAGGCTTAAAGCGTGTTAATAGGCATGCATAGGATCTAGTCAACCACCTAGTTGGCTATTTCGAGACACTTTTAAACTTGCACTTTCTGCCATCTTCAGACCACGAGCCACACGTAGCGGATATTATCACCAACGTACGCGAAAATTGTGTGCTAAATGTAATATCGGTTTGCACGTAAAATGCTCGTACAATATCCACAGTAAATAAGCATATAATTTACTATGTATGTACATATACATTAGACTGTCCCAAGAATATATGGAAAAAACTTGTTTGCAAATTTTGATATACATACCAACCCTCTATATTTGTGCTTTTGAGCCTAAATAGCATATACAGTGACGAGCAAAACTGTAACATGGAGTAACACCTTTTCTTTCAGCTGTCGCTATCTTTCCAAGTTCTAACGACATTCATACTGTTGTTCTGTATTTTTATTGGTACATCTTTGCTTCCTCTGTCATAACGATTTGAAGTCAATTCAACAACATTAAAGAAACCAGCAGACAAAAATGTAAATTAAGGCATATGTTACAGTTTTGCACTCATGTATTTTTAATAACTTTTTGACAATTTTCACAAAAAAAAAGAA